CCGGCACGACCCAAGTGGTACCAAGCATCAGCATCTCTCTCACTGAGCCCCAAGGCTGTTTGGAAGCAATCCTTCTGATCTTTGGGCACACCGTTGACCGGGACGGTGATCAGGGCATCTCCCTCATCTTCCTCATCTTCCTTTTGCAACTCTTTTCCAAGGCCTTTCCAAGCCTCCTTCGCCTCCCGCGGTTTCTTTTCCAACGCTTGTAGGAAGCACTCCTTTCAAACAAGGAAGAAGTGGAGGAGTGAAACTTTGAGATACTCAAGTGAACAGAGACCTCTGGATGCTCACACAAAGAATCAAAGTTTGAAAACAGCCCAACGGGTGTCATGGATCTTGGAAGCCCGAAGAGATTCTTTTCGCACACCGGTGGAGCTCATCCCATCCATCCCGAGCTCTTAATGTTGACCAAACCGAACTCGCCATGTTCTCAACGTCCACTGCTCGCCGTATCGATTTCACTCTGTCAACATCTCTAGACCCTAGAATATCATGAGCTTGTGTCTTTGACGTTTATGGAGATAAAGACCACTCCCATGGATGCTTTTGAGCATCTTTGAGCTACAGTCTCATTCATACGTCATTTCATGAAGAAGAAGGATGGCCAAGTTTTCCCACGGCTCCGCAGCTCTCCTTGGCCGTGTACACCTTGCCAGCCACTTCACCACCACCTGCTTTGCCAAGTTTCAGCCAGTCGACCTCCCCGGCCTGTTTCAGCTGGCAAGCGCAGCAGAGTTCGAGCAAGATGCTCAAAGAAGTCCAGCAATAGGGTTTCAGATAACGTGTTGCGCACAAACCACATCAAAACGAGAAACTAACTGAGATGGTTCGGCCGCAAGAGGGAGAAGAACCTGTAAGAAGAGACCCCAAGCCGTGACGTTCTGCGCCGTGTCTACGACCTGTTTATCTCAGCTTGAGTGTTTTGAGGATTGGTCATTGGTCTGTTGGAGTCTTGTGCGCTCATTTCTTGGAACCTTCGGCTTGACAATTCACCACTCCCCACGCGTTAAACCGGAAAGCCCCCCCGAAAGAACGGCATGTCTTCACCTCCACTCTTGGCTTCTTCGCTGCTGGGCCAGCAAGTGCCACCTCGGGAGGCTGAGAAAGCCTCGCTTGGCTTCAAAAGGTCACATTCCTCCAACGAATGACTAATCATTTGAGATGGTTTGAGTGTGTATTTGAATAGGGAGACCCTTAACCTAGAAATGTCGGTCTATTTTCCATCTTCCATGGGGTCCATTCTAATGCTGCTAGAGTTTTCCTCCATCGCACCGACCCTGCCACTACTTTGGGACGCTGAAAAGCTGCATCCAACACATGTTGCATCCAATCATGGTGAAACAGGTCCTTTGAGCTTCCAAAAAGTGCCTAGCAAATCTCAGAAATACCTGTGGAAAGGTAGAAAAATGTCCTCGTCTGTGGGCACTACCGTACAATCCCACCCGACCGTGCCTTCGAATCGCCAAGCACCGGGTTTGGGGTCCTAGGCCCAAACGGCAGCATGCGTGGCACTTGGACCGTCAGGCACGAGTAGGAACGTGCCTTGAAACGTGTTGTTCAAAATGATAAACCATCCAACCACTTGAGCAACATCAGGTTTGGCCAGGCCCATTCTAACCTTCACACCAAAGTCACATCCCGATGCTGCTTCGATGGATCGCAGGGTCACCATGGAGAGTCCCTTTCAAGATGTTTTGAGAAAAGGAGGCCAAACCCAGGGGCATGCATAACGCGAAGCACTGAAGAAAATGACCACGAAGAACCCACCATGACCAGTATGAAGAATCCCACTTTGACCATGAAGTCGATGCGTTTGGCCACAAAAGACCAAAACGACACTGGCTGAGGCCTTGATCGTCTTTGAGTCGCTGGCCTTGGTCTTCGGCAGCTTCTCTGGGCCTCCGGCACCGTTCGTGCTGGCGCGAATCGGCCTTCGTGGCCACGGTACACTAAGAAGAGGAGCATATGAGCATATATTGGTATGTGAAACAAATAAGGAGAGTGCTAGTAGGGGGAGCCTTTTGCACACAACAGAAACAAATAGGCCCACATTGGTGGCCTGCGCAAACCTCTTGCCACCCCCAGGCCATGAATTGCGGATAACTCGAGTTCACTTGACTAGGGCCGAGTCGTACGTCTCAACTGTGGATCACACCTCATAAGCCAAGTACGCTTCTATCCTATCTGAGAGCTTCAAAAACAGTTGAGTAAACTCCCGTAACTAGAGTTCAATCTGTCAATCTCCATACCAAGGCTGACAAGATCTTCACCGAGATCTGAACCTGGGTAGCCAAAGCGAGTGCGGCGGGCCTTTTCCTTTCCCTTTTCCTTTTCCTTGTGGAAGAGCGGAGCTGCCTGGCGTCACCTACAGGGAGGAATCAAATCTGGTTCCTCACATCTGCTCAGAATTCCACCGGAGGTGGGTGGGTGCAATGGCTGCTACAAGTTCCTCACATCTCACGAAATTAGGAGGGCTTGTAGAATTGCTCCTGATTCCACATTCAGCGCTGAGAATCATGGCCACTCCACCTGTTGTGACGCCCTGTAAAGTGCAAGTTTGTGACCAAACGTCCCAAAAATCTGAAGTCCCATTACATTCCAACAACTGCCTAAAAATGGTCAAAGGCACTTGTCGCTCAACGATGACCGAACTTTAAAGAGATCGGGTATTCGGATGATGCCACTTGTGCCACCGCCAAGTCGGGCCTTGGGCTTTTTGGCTGGTGGTTCCACCTGGAGGGAGAGAGGTGACCCGGAGACAAGCTCAACAACCTGCAACTCGGGCGACTTCAAACAAAAAACAACACCAAACACTGCTTCAAAGGAGCCATCTACTAGCTCAACCAAGAAAATCAATGCCCAGCACAGACTAAGTCACGTAAGTCTATGTCTATTCTCACCAAGGAGCTGCCTCAGAATCTTCCTCTGGCTTTTTGGGTGTTTTGTGCTTCGGACCCTTGCTCTCCTTTTGTTTTCCCTGTGCTTCTTTGTCCATCTTTTTGTCGTCCTGCTCCTCTTCCTGCTTCCCAGGCTTCTCATCTTCAGGTTTCTCACCCCCCTCGAGCTTCTGAGGCTTCTTCTGGTCATGCTTTTTCTCCTGAGGCTTCCTTCCCCTCCCCTGTGCAGGATAGGGAGATGAACCACAAAACAGCAAAACCACAAAACTGCAGCAACTCTGGTCGATGCTTTCCCCGCCGACTCAAAACAGCTGGTGACTATTAATAGTCCAGCCACTGAGTACAAGTGCGTGCTCCTGGCATTTTGTCTTGTCATGTCTATGTCTATCCCCCATTGAAAGAAAGCTGCGTAAGGTCTTGCACTCAGGGAGTCAAAACACCACCAAACAACCCCAAACAATCCATGTGCCTTCTTAAAATCCATGAGAGCTTCAACCTCGTCGAGCTGATCGCAGTGCACTTCAACCAGCCCACCACCATGGTGCAAGATATCCCTCACTTTGAACTCCATGTTGGGTGGCAGCACAATCTCGTTCTCGGTTGGAAAGAGCGAGAAGTCTTGAATCAAAACTGCATGTTGTTGTGCTGCTGAATGCACTCCAAACGAACTCTTTACCCTTTTCACACTGCTTTCCTGGACAGTCCAAATAAAGGCATCCAAGAAAACATACCCCGGAAATAAACAGTGAGGAAACTTCTGGAACCAACACAAAAGGGGCTGACAGCCGGGCTTCCTAGTTCACTGCTATCACAGCGCACTCCACGGAAAAAGATCGTGTCTTTGAAAGGTGGAAGCTTGCGCATGGCTGTCAGAGCAACCAAATTGCATCTCTCCAAGGCTTTACGTCTTCCCGAACTAGAGATCGGAGCGCGGCATTCATGGCAGAATAGATGGACTTCTCGGGGGGGTTCATTTCCACGGTGTAGAGGGTCAGCATGGCACGCTCATCTTCCGTGAGTTCTGGGTATTTACCTTGAAGTTCTTGAGCTAATCTCCTTCGAGCATCCCAAAACCCACACCATTTGGGGACATTGGAGGGTCACATAACTACATAATAGAGTCCAAAGATACTGCTCAGGGCAAAGCAATTGAATAGCAGAAAAATGGCCCAAGAAATGAGGCAACTTATTGAGAGAGAATGACCGAGTGAGTGAACATATCTTTCCCTACCAAAAACCTTGTAAAAGCTGCCTCTCCTGGCTTTCTTCACGCAGATATCCAATTCGATCGAGACCATCTCGCGGATGCCCTCTACAATCTCACTCAACGGCTTCACCGTGCAGTGCTGGAAGAGACCCGCCAAAGGATTCCGATCCTTACCATCCTGGAGAGGTATTTTTGATCTGATCAAAATTAATGCTCCAGCCGTCTACAAATATATTACTACTTGGAGTCGGAGTCGGAGAATCTTCTGGGGAAAGTGCAGAGCTTTACTAATATTTAGTGATCGAAAATCATTTTGTCACCTGGTCCAGGCTGGACAACTATACACTACACTGTCTTCACAAAGCCTCAGAGCCCCAAAGGGAGTCCAACTTTATCCTCGCCATTCCCACGGACGGCTCTGTGATCCCATGTGTCCTCCTGCCAGGCTGCAGAGATTCTGCTCAGGGAGGCTTTGGAGGCTTTGGGCGGCTCCATGACATGGCTTGATATGTGAGGCAAATATGCTCCAGTTGATATCTTAAATAGTCCGTGTGTTCAGGCTTCAGTCTTCAGGTTCTTTGCCATTCTAGTGTCTCATCTTATCACCCCAGTTCCATTGGTCGCAAAGAATACTTTCAGTGAGAAAGGCAGCCTTAAAGCAAGCTTCAACATCACCGAACTTCTTTCGTCCAATGTTTTCCCCGTGGCCTAAGCTTATCGACCTGGTCTGAGCCCAGTCGGCCATCGAAACTTTGCCAATCTCCTTCCGGTTGCATTTCATCATGAAACCAGAAGTAGATGCCTATCTAAATGCCTCCGTAAAACTCATGCCTTTTTGGGGTGAACTTGCAAGTCTTGTTCGACTGCTCTACGCAATTGCACTTAGCAAGAGGTGAAAACTGGTTGAACAGGAGACATTTTCCGGGGGATACCTCCACGGCGACGTTCTGCGCAGAACGTTCTGTATCATGTGGTTGTCCGAAAACAACATAGGTGGTTGCCGGGAAAAAGAAAACACTCAGCGAAGTCGCCTGGAAACCGAAGTCACGTTGACTCACTCACTCACCTGCCTCCTCCTCCGCGCGCTCAGCGGCGTGTCTTCTTTTTCCATTTCCCACCTCTAGCGACTCAGCCAGGGTGCGTTGGAGATCAAGTCCTGGCGCCGTCGTTCGGCTAGGAGGGTCGGTCGGGGTTTTCAGGCCAGGTCAACAGGTCTTAGGGCTACTTCCAAGGAACCATGCGGGATATTGCAGATAATATAATATATACATACGTGCATCGATTTAATTCGTGGGTGACAAAGGCTCTACGAAATTGTTGCTTTTGTGCAGGAGGGGCTTTTCATCAACGGCACTAGGAAGAAAAAAGATCTACTGTTTCTCAGCTTTATATGTGGGTGGGTCCAGGTGCTCCCTTCATTTCGAGGATTCCGTTCTTGGCATTTGACAAGTGCATGTTGTATGCAGAAGTTGCTATGATTTCTACATGTTATTATTGAGCATAGCAAGTCCCCCAACAAATGGATTCATGATGTCATTTACTTTCATATACCAGGACCGTTGCTGAAATCTACCTACTTTGCGGGGTTCACTCTGTCGTGGAAGTCTGTCTGCTTCCACAGGCGGTGCATCAAGAAGGACTTGTTTGGCCACTAGTCCAATCTCTAACTGCAAACAATCTGCGCTCAACAACTTTCAATCAATGTGCCAAAGGCTGGGGTGGGGAGATCTGGCAGAAGAAATTCCAAGGCGCAAAGAAACACTCAGACCCTTCCTCCCAAGAATAGCTGAGTAAGCGGCAAAATGATCGTTCAGAAAGTTGTTTCATCTATATACTTGGACTTGTCTTTTGGTTTTCCGGTTTCGTTTTCCAATCCTCTCACTCGTTACCAGAAGGTTGAAATGAATGCTGAGTGGTATGTTTTTTTGCGCCTGTCTCTCAACTGTTGAAAACCAGGGCAAGGACAACAAATTCTGGTTTGACTACCCGCTAGGCTTCCCACCCCCATCGTGCCTTTACCAAGCAACCATTGTTTTACTAAAGATTTTACACTACAAAACCAGGTCAACCTTTCTTTTAACGGTCTTGGAAGGCTAGACCACCAGAAATTGGCTCTTGAGCACGCGGAACTCACTTCGGCCTTGCTGACGAAGTGCATGTTGGGATTCCGGAACTCCTGCAGCTGAGATGGAGTGTTAGATCCAATGAGAAGCTGCTGCCGGATGCACTTGAGAAAACTAAGCCACTCCCAGGTTTCAATGGTGACTGAGACTGGCTGCGACGTGGCTGCAAAGAATGACCTGTTGGAGCAATCCAGGCCACACAAGAGTAAGCATGAATCCGGAGGGTCCTCAAAGGACTCGGCATGACGTTAAAGGCCATTTTGGCATGACGAACTGATCAAAAGCCAAAAGCAAAAGAAACATGTTCATAGGAAACATGACGTTTTGGTCGGTTTCAAAAGCCAAAAGCTGCATCAATTCGGTTTGCAACTGACCTTGGGCATGACGTGGCCTTTTGCAGGTCAACCCCAACGACTCGTGTAGACTTTTGTTGGGTAAGGCCCGGCTTGTAAAAACACCCGTTCAGCTGATGGAAAGATGTGGAAATCGACTCCCCACAGATCATATGAGGGGGTTGAAAGGATCATTAAAAATTCCCCACATATCAAGAGTCATTCAAATAGTCTACCTTGGGTCTATCTATCCTACTGACTGTTACAGGTCAGTTTGGACAGACCCACACGTCTACCCGTCATATCCCAACCTCGCTTCTTCTTCTCGCTGATCCCAAAGGACCGCTCCTCGTGGGTCTGGTCGATCTCAGCTAAGAGCTCCTTGGGCAAGGCCTCGCTCCGCCGAGGGCCGTTGACACCGGGCTTTCGATGGAGGCCGGGCTGTGACAGCGGCCCACGGGCGTGGACACCGCGGTACGCGGCGTATACGTACACGCGAGCTGTGACAGCGTGCTGTGGCGGGTTGGAAAGCGACCGAAGCATCGAGAAGTCACATGGGTTGAGAGCCACCAGAGGCCATTGGTTGAGCAGATTGCGCTTTGGGCATGTCCTCGGACCTTCCTGGAACTAATAAAACAGTGTCTAGCTTCTTCCGGTGGCTTTGTGACCAAGGGTCTCTCCGAGTCCCTCCCATCTGTCGAAGCTCCGTTTTACGCATGCCTTCGGTGTTATGACATCCTTCGGCATTCCTGGGCCAGTCCAATCCTGTACGTTCCGTTATGATCCATCCATCCTCTTTTCTGATTGATCTCAAAAATACGAGGAAACCTCAATCACGAAGCATTCATCTCCTTTCCTTTCTACCAGGCTCTACCAAGAAGGCACAAGCGTCACGTGATGTCACGTCTTCCCCCAATGCCCTGGGGAACATCGAAGGTCTCGGGAACCGTCGAACAGCGCGCGCCTTAATCTTGCATGCCCCCACGCACTCCTCGACCTGGAACTTCAGGTGGGCAGGTGAGACGCAAACCAGGTGAGAAGCAAAACCTGCAGGTTTGAAGGTCTGAGGTGTGAAGGTTTGGAGGTCTGAGGTCTGAGGTCTTTCAGGTGTCTGAAGTGTCTGAGGTCTGAACAGACCCGTGAGAACAGCAGGTCTGCAATCTCTTGAAAGAGGCCCCCAGTCCCAGGCCAGTACCAGAGACCTGCATGGCTCACCGAAAAGCATGAGGCATCCTGAGGTTTTGAAGAACTGCACCCACCGTCCAACAACCTGGCAGAAGTCCTTCCTGCCCAAGTGGTGCAGAAGTCCTTCCAGTTCTTCCATCAGACCCCTCCTTGGTTGCCATGGAGGACCGTAGGTCCTGCCCCCAAGGCCGACCAGACCCTCCACCCGCCTGGCGTTTGGTGGTCGTGCCAATGATCACCGCGCCCGCATGCGGCCGTTGGTTGGCCTGAAGACCACGCGGTGGCGCCGTGGGGGTGGCCACGTGGCGTGACCGTGCGGACCGGTGCAGCGAGCCGGAGACTGGGAGACCCCAGGCCTGCAGATGAAGGAAAAAATGGACGCAAAGACTGAAGTTGAAGCAGAGATTGGGGCTTCCCACATGTAGAGCAAAGATAGGGAACCTCCGAGATCTCACAGGGTGCTTGAAATCTCCTCCAGAAAAGCACTCCAACAACAGGCTCCTTCAAGAAAACCTCTGTCCAAAAGAACGTCATGCCCCAAAACCAAACAAATCCAGACCAAGGGAGGTCCAAATTCTTCTCCTCCAAAGTCATCTTCCAAGCCGAAATGACCAGAGCCGCAAGTGACCGGAACACCCTCCGGTCACCGGAACACCGTGGCTCTCGGTGACCGAGGAGCCCAAGCAACCGCCAGCTCCGTGGGCGTCAAGCCATACTTCTCCGCGAGCACCACGTAGCGCTCAGTGGCCTGGTGGACGAGGGCGGAGCTCGAGGGAAGGGGAGAGGGGCATGGTGGTGCAAGGGCTGAAGAGAAGGGTTGCAGCGCAAGGCGCCCCCGCGCCCAGAAGACTCCTGAGTCTTTACTTGAAACCTTTGTAAACGACTTACAGTTATATGAGTACGACCAAAGTCCGAAAAGAACGCGTCTCGGTTTAGAAAAGAAGGTGCTGGGGCCATGCTCCATGTCCTTTTCTCTTGGGTTTGCAGAGTGTAGACAAAAGTGTACAGTCATGGCATTTCAAATGCGTTCTCGGGGCGATCGACGTGGACCAAATGCACCGATCTCTACAACAAATGTCAAACAAATCTTGATCTGCTGAATTAGACATGTCTGCTCCTGGTCCAAACACAACCTCCCCAACCAACCGCCCGTTCGAGTTCAGGACTCACAGGACATCCCCACCTTCGCCGGCATCGGATAGGAGTACCGCGGCTGGAAGTTCGGCCGGGCGTGGTGCCGGCACTCGCCCAAGTCCCTCCCGGGGTCCTCGCCGCCAGCCGCGAGGTTTCGCGCGGCCAAAGGGCCCACTGCTCGGGCCCACCCGGAGGTGTCCGGAGGGCGGGTGCCATCCTCATGGCGGTCTTTAGAATCAAGCCCATGTCGATGTGTACGAAGGACCCGGTAATGGTCAAGTCAGCAACGCAGCAACACAAAGAAGAAACAAACCTATGATGGCATTGATGTGTAGGTCTCTAGCGACCAACACCAGCCATATATGCTAACATATCACCATGGTGGCATGGTTGATGTGAAAGGTCTCTAACATATCTTCTGTTGAGGCCCTTCACCCATGCGCCATGCATCCATCATCGAGAAGTCACTCAACACCCACGGCAGCAAAACGACCTGTCAGACTGACCACTTATGCGGTTTTCTTCAATCATAAAACATCACCCTCAATCCACCACGGATGCACCACTCATCCCATTGAGGTCCATGTCCTTCTTGGCATAAGGTGAGTCTCGTATGTACTTGCCACTCAGGACGCCTGAGTGGCACAGGGCAAGTATGGCAGCATGGCAGTGTCAAAGACAGAGAAGGAAAAAACAATACATGCTAGTTGGATCTTCAAATCGCATGGTCTTGACTCGCCAAACGTCCAAGTCCAATTCGTCGGCTAACCCCGTGGCCTCCGCAGAGCAGGCCGAAGTGGCAGCTGACCAGGCCAAAGCGGTGGCAAGCTTCGTAGCAGTCCTGGGAACTCCAACGAGGGCGGCCCAAGCAGTTTGATAGATGTGAATTCCAGGGAATCTGGGACCCATTGGATGGACATCCACATCCCCATGTGCAGCTATGGGGGAAAGAAGGAATTTGATTCTACATGCAGCCAAAGCCTCCAAGCAGTTTTTGTGGACTTTTGAAGCACATGGAGAGGTTTTGCGCGGCTTCGTCATTGTATACAACTATGCAACTCAGTGGTGTTCCAGATAGACTGAAGCCTGTGGGTGAACAAAAGAGATGGGTCGGTGAGACTCGGTGAGACCGTCGCTTCCAGATGGTTGTTCCAGTATGAACAACTCTTCTGAGCCTGCTGGACCTTCGGTGGCAGGCCCCCGCTCACTTTCACCGCCTATCCCACTCAAGGAAGTGCTTGGAAAACCTGGTTCAGTCTACTGTGCAAGGTTACAATCAGAATCAATCATACCTGTTCACTCATGTTCTGCGCACTCTTCCTTCTGTTCGACTCTTCCTTCCTTTTCAACGAGTCGATCCGAACCTGCTCACCTTCCGATCCGAAGCCCGAAGCCCACGAACGTCCCGGCGAACCTGCGGCCCAGGAGCCGTGTCGAAGATGCGGTTGTTCAGGGAGTAGTCGTTCTGCACGCACACGGGCCGCGGCACATTCAGCCGGTCGCAGGTGAGGCAAAACATGGTCACCTCCGCCGTGAGGCAAGTTGGCAAGGCAAGTTGGCCAGTTGCTGTCTGAAGTTTTCCGTAATCTGCCGGTGATGGGGAGGGGGAGGGAGATGTGTCTGGTGTGGGAGGGTACCACACAGGGACATAGCTAGAAAATGAATGTACCCAAGATGCTGCTGGTGTTGCCCGGTCCGAGACCGCAGTCCCTCAGTCTCTGGGCTCTTGAGGCCGGTCCCAGACCAGCTCGAGGCCACCAAGCACGAGCAGCCCAGTGGCCCATCAAGCTAGCATAAAGGAGGGTGAACTCGCAACCGCCATGGTCTTGGTAATTCGATTTGGATCTCCCCGTTGATGTGGGAGGGCCTGGGCCCTCCCTCCCACTTCCGCTGGTCAACAGGATTCTTGGTCAACAGCCCGCGTCACAGCCGGCACCCCCTAAGCGCTAGCCCCTCCGCCGCGCACGAAGAACGTTCACCGAGCGAACGTTTGCTGCCCCGAGCCACGCCGTAATTGTTCTCGTTGGAGAGGGCCCAGTGCTTGATCAATCCTGCAAGGGCCAAATCCATGAGACTCCGTGGTTCATTCACGAAAAAGGCCCCAACGAAAAAGAGAAACGCCTGGATTCAACCTGATTGGACTCGGTTTCTTCTGGTTGGTCCAGTGACCATGACTTGTGATTCAGAAGATCCTCCACAGAGTTCTCCACCACCCAACTCCCCCCGCACCGCAGAAACCCGCCGCCCCAAACCCAGCGGGGCCAACGAAAAGGGTGGGCCCAAGTGGTCCAGTGCACCCGCCGCGCCGCGCCACCGTCGTCCTGCGTCGAAAAGGGCCTTGATGGCCAGGACCTGGGCTTCAAAGTCCTTCACTTCACCTGCTGACGCGGACAGAGACGGAGGCCGAACGTGAGAGATGGCGGGGGGCTGCGTGACATGGCTGTTTGTGGACACATCGAGAACAGACAGACATGAGAAAAGATATCGGTGTTCTTGGAGGCGGAGAATAGTTGTTGCTGGTGTGTTCTCCACTACAGAAAACCTGTGGAATTTGGTCAAGACAGGAGTGGAGGACCTAAGACATGAAATGTACACACATGTCTACTATTGTTTGGAAGACTTTGGAAGACTTCCCCCACCCATCCACCCACCCACGCCTTTGTCAAAAGATGGCACCGGTCGGTTCTTGTCCGGGAAATAGGAGATGCAACCAAAGACCGGCACGTTCCGGGTTGGCCAATGCCTTGAGCTGTCCACTGTTCAGAGATCGTTCTCGTTCCAAGATGTTCCAAGTAACACATGGTTGAGATGGATACCCCTTCGAAAAGCATGCGACACCTGCAAAACACAAATTGTATATAAACCCATCCTACTTGGCTACTCTGGTCTGCTATGGCCTATGCAGATTCCTACATTCCATCCGGACACCCATTCACACACTGAGTTTGACTATGGCACTCATCCTCGGACGACCACCGGGGCCTTTGCGGCGGAACGGCGGAAGCCCCACCGAAGGGGAGCCGCTGCGAATCCCACGCGAAGATCCGGAGTGTCTTTGGTTCCGGCGTGGGGAACCCGATCCTCGTTCCTCCTGAAAAAAAAAAACGCACGAGTGACAAGGCTCAGGTAGTACAGGTCGATGTACTGGCACTTCCTCATTCCAAAATCCGCCAGCCAGTGGTCAGCGGTGTAAAAAACAGGAAGCTACGCTTCAAGGCATCTCAGAGTGAGTGATAGTGAGTGTATGTTTACAGAAACTGCCTTGCTGCAAAAAAAGTGCTTTTGGGGGGATGAAAAACAAGTGTAACTAGGTAACTAGGTTATAAAAATACCTCTTGTTCAAACTTATGCCAACGAACATTCCATGGTTGTGAGACGATGTTCACCACCTCTGTGGGGGAGTATTTGCATCATCCCTTGCTGATTGATGGTAGATAAACATTCCAGTGATGATTGATTCCGGAAGTACAGTCATACTGTCATACCATCTTCCATTCTCCAGTTGTAGAGTTCAAAAAAAACTGCTACCTCTTTGAATATGGCTCTATAATGCTCTATACTGAATTACGCCTCCACCTCTACGACCACTGATTCCCCGTAAAAGCCATTCTCTGCTGGTCTTACCAATTCTGAAGCCGTTGGCTCCAAGGCTAGATCCACTATTCCCAGAAATACAACGAAAACCTATCGGAGCGCCGAACCGCTGCCACGGCACAATCGCTCAATGGATGCCTTACACGAGGCCAAGAGCGACTCTTGGTCGAAGCCCCACGGCTTCTTGCGCCCTGCGGCACGAAGCCGACCGGGCCCAACAAGAAGCTACTAGTAGCAAGGACGCTACTAGGTGGAGGCCATCGCGAGTAGGTTGGAGGCCATCGCTACTAGTAACAAGAAGCTTCTATAGGGTGGAGGCCGTTTCTACTAGTGGCAAGGGCGCTTCTTGTCAATGGTCAGTGAACATGGGAAGCCAGTTGTACAAGGCTTTTGGTCGATGAAGTCAGAGTTGCTTAGGTGGCCCAAATGTCCTAAGTCAACCTGGAGGTTGCACAAGCCAAAACAGCTCAATTGAGAAATCTACTCCAGCTGAGGCTACTTGAGCCGACGACTGAAGCAACGACCATCTTGACAAGCCGAACCAACGCCTCCTTGAAACAAACCAGAACTCAGCACCAGGTACCAACATCAAATGGCGTTGGTTCTTGACAGCCAGAGAAAGCTGCCCATGTCACCCAATGCACAAAAATTTGTCACTTCTTCTTTTTTGGGGTGACTTGCTTAGTGGTGAGCCCCGAACATAGAACCTCCCCCCCCCCGCCAGGAACCCACCATAGTGCCCCTTTCATGTTCCGCTCCTTTCATGTCCGGTGCACCATTGTTGGAGGGATTCCTCGGACATATGCGGTGCTGGCGGGCAGTCAGCACCAACTTCTCTCGTGCGTCACGGGCGAGGACCCATGGGATGAGTTGTGAACAGGAGTCGTAGCCAGATGGACGGAGGACCACATGACCCAAATAAGGCGCCAAAAAGCAATGATAGCAAACCCAAGGCTATGCAAGTTGGCCTCAGGACAAGGCCTTGCCTCATCAGGCTCCCTTGGGTGGCAGAAGACGCTCCAAGTTCCGCACAACTTTGTTGAGGGAAAAGGTCATCAAAATGCTGGGAGCGCTCACCTATCTTGCGTCGACTTTTTGACTGAAACCTCAGGTAACTCAGGTACTCTTGTGTTTCACCCAAAAGGAACATCGGCTCAAAGAAATCAGCTCTAGGCATGCTGGTATCCATATGGAATGAAGGGTTTCCTGTGACCCTCTCTCTGAGGGGCATCCTTTTCCTCGCATCATGCACTATCCACCAACACTCGTCCTTGCCAAGCGCAGGCGAGAGGCGCTTTGGTGGCGATATAAAACCTCATCGGCACGGCTTCGCATGGCTTCGTGGGTTAAGTCACGTCAGAGACTTGTAGATTGGAGGTTTAGCCCTTGTGATTTCGTTGCGTTCAAGTCCAGTTGGGAAGCCACGTCCTGAAAATGGGGGGGACGTGGCTTCAGATACCCATCGCATGTTCAAAACTAAGCACCCATAGCAACAGCAACGCAACCCCATTAAGAATAGAAGCTAACAGCATCAAACAGCCATGTTCCAATTGTGTGCCCATGCTTTGCTGCCTAAGCCACTGATCTCGTTGGATCTTTTTGGCCGCAAGGGCTCCCTCCAACCAATGGCCGATCCATTCCTCCGTCACCTTGCCGCCCTCGAAGGGCACCGGGTACCTGTGCACCGTTCTTTTCGCATCTTTTTTGAGCCGTGGCAGAGAGGGAAGATCGGATGAGCAAAGCGCAGACCCGGTTATTTGTCGAAACAAAAGAAGAACACAAATGAATTGACTGGTGAAGCTGCCAAGAGTTGTGGAAGATTCTGGACGCTTGGACTGTTTGCAACACCCAATCTCCCATGACCCACGGTGTTCTGATTCTGGGTAGCCCTTCAAATCATTCATGGGGAATCTTCCCATTTGAGGCATGGATCAAGTGAAGCTCTACATCACGGGCCCAATTCCTTGAGATGCGTGTAGAAAAATGTGTGTGTGTGTGTTTGGACGGACTCAGTCGGGGGAATGCACATGTGTGTAACGGCTCGCGTTCTGTGGCTGACCTTGGGTAGATCCCATGACCAGGTTCCCTGAACTGGGCGATCTTGCCCATGTAGCACTGATGTTCATGCATAGTTTCCCTAAACTTCAGAGGATGATGAATTGTCTTAGCTTACAGGCCTTTCTCAAGGGTGATCATCTTTTGCCAGCTCCATATGAAGGGACACACCCCAACCTCACCTGACTTTGGTGTTCGCTCGAGCTCGATGGACTCTCTGGGGCGATGTTCCGCCGCGGAGCCGCCGCGTTTTCCCTGCCGTCACCGGTGCGACCGCTGTTCCAGCGGTGGCGGGCCCCACTGCTCCATGTCATGGAAAACCCGACGAAGTTCGAACGAACGAACGATGGCACAGTTCAAGGGAAAGGGAGAGCCCATCTCCGCACAAATAGGCTTGGCAGGGTGTACTGTGTCTCAAGTCATTGGAGTTTACCCCCCCGACTCCAACTACAAACGCCATGCGCTGGAGCAGCTCCCGCCCCCACCCGCTGTAGTTGCGGGTCACAGCTCGGCTGTGTCAATGAAGTTGACGCCCTGCTCAACGAGGGCGTCCAACTGCTCGTGGGCCATCCTTTCCTCTACAACAGCTGGATGTTGACAAACCTCTCACAACGTTCATTCGCCAATCGAAGCAAAGATCCAAAAGTGAGATTATGATTAGGCGGTTCTCTTGCCTTGAAAGTAAACGCTGCACTTTTCATTTGCCTTGGAAAAGCAAAGCATCAAGTCAAGGAGTGTCTTTGCTTTTTCAAGAACGTCGTCCTCCAAGGTCAAATTCCACCCTTTGGTCCCAATTCAGGAACGGGCGTTACCCGCAAAAACAGCTGCTCGCCAGACAGGCGTTCGCCAGATCAACCAATCCACTACCTTCTTTTGGGCTAAGTTATGCATATCTTCCTAATGCTCAAAATTCCAATGGGATCAACCATGAAAGATCAACCAATGGTCTCTTCCCCTGAACTTCCTGCATCAGCCACATCAGCTCACCACCCATGCCACCACGCCCGCACGCGAGCACGCCCACGCTGCACGGCGCGTAGGGCCTCCTTGTTCAAGGTCCCCCACATCATGGTACCGCCACAGGCGCGAGACACCATCATGTCCTCGGAACTGGAGAGGCACCGACGCACTGACTGGAAACGTGGACGGCCTGCGGTGTCTTGGGCAGCCGGGTTGAATTGAATCCGTCTCCCCCAGTCCCCCAGTCGTAGTGACAACTAGAAACTATATGCGGGGATCTAACTTCCACTCATTTATGGAGCCAAAGCACATCTTCAACGGTCTGTGGGCCACTAGACTTGAGATTCTTCACAAATCCAAAACTGACCATACTCAATTGATGTTAAGTTCTCCACCCATGACGCACACGCCGAAATCTCTGCTGGCTCGGCACCGTTCGTCCAAACTGCACACGCGGCAAGGACTCCAGTCTCTCAATGGTCGCCATGGGCTCAAGAACTCCAAACGGATGACCGAGTTGGGCCACGAACTGCTCCAGCTCCAGCTCTTTGTACGTAAAAATGCCAGCAACACTGTTGGTTTGGCGCTGGTTCAAAACTCCTGATGACCTGATGACCTCTGGCGGTCGTTTTTTCATGAATTCGGTCCAGCGGTCCAGGGGTCCAGCGATCACCCAAGAGGTCCCAAAAATATGAAGCCGCTGTCGATGTTGCACCTGCGTTGATGGATCAGTTCTTCGTCTGAGTCTTGGCTTGCTGAATTTCTGGAGCCGTTGTCTCCGTCGATTTACCAAGACCCTAGGAATGCCACTATATACTTTGACGCCTCTTGCAGAAACATGTTTCAGGCATCAATCAAGCTTCAAAGACAAGAGAATCTGATCATTTCAGCCTCTGAGATTCAACGGCATGACGGAGGCCAAGTGCCTTCAAATCGGTCTTATCAACGCACACTTCTACCAGAGCGGTTTCAAGGGCTGAATTTGAGACGAGGCCTTTACACACCTTCCTGAATTTGGCTTTCCAGCGGGGAGATCACAAATTGGGAAGATTAGTGAACCCTGTACTCTGCTAGCTGCCACGGTGAGCTACTGGCGCTTGCTTCAGCGTTTTCCTCGCTCCTTTTCTTGCTGGACTTGCCAAGTGGCTCTGTGCCGAATTGATCGTTCAGGGTGAGCTGATTCCAGCCATGGCAGCGGGTCATTGACCCAAAGCCATGTTCGGAATCTGGGGTAAACTCTGGGCCGTCTGGATTTGCTCTCAACACGACCAAATCCATGAGAAGAATCAAGAATCCCAAAACTCCTGAAAACGTCAGGACTTCTAATATCTCTAATGCATTCCAATGCCAGATTGCACAACAGTTCTGTGTGACCAGTGGTACAACTTGGGGTGCGGTCCAATCTTTGTCGTCTCCTACTCACTCTTTAAACTGCACCAGGTAGGAAGCCCTGCAACGCTGGGCTCACGCTGCTGAGCCATGCAGCTGGGCTCACACAGTGACCTAGTGGCGCAGCCAGGTGTGTGTGTGTGTGTGTGTGTGTGCATGGCCGGCAAGGAACTGCCAGGGGCTTTGGACAACAACCATGTTGGTTTGTATTTTTTGGCAGAGTATTGTGATGACTTCAATGAAACTTCAAGAGAAAAGCTGCAACATCTTCTGATATTGATGCAGTTGCGTGAGAGACTCGGACACCTCTCTCCGACTTTTACCTGACTTTATTTTAACAGGCTACCACTTTCCGTGGGTACTGACGTGGTATTTAACAGAACAGACTGGGTGTTACAGTGGTTTGTTTCTACCAGGCTTTGAGTCAAGTTCTTTTCCTTTCTTTTGCTGGTGTTGCGACGCTTTGTTGCGCTGTTCATTGCAAACCGATTCGGGCTGCATGGTATAACAGGGGTTTGACGAACATCCGCATCGACGTGTATGCACAGTGTTGAGGACACGGACAAAGCAAAGCAAAACAAAACAAAACAAAAGCGGACACGGACAACCACCGGTTCGTTGAGGTCCGTGACCAGCTCGGGGACCCAGTTGGATCCAGTTGGTGCAAAAGATCGGTTCGAGCCAATGCGACTCCGAAAGAGCAACAGACCGGCCAACAAACTTTCTCTGATGGAGAATCGTCTGTTGATCTCTGATCTTGTAACCTATTCTGTTGATGGAGAATAGTTGGTTGATTCTCTTTGGCCAACAAACTCGTAAACCTGCTATGCCACGGACATCTCACGTCAAACCCACCCTTCCAAATCACTCTGCACACCTATCCACCAAAAATGGTGCAGCCTAGCATCTATTCTTGCGTACAACCCCAAATTGGCACTAAGCCCCAATCTAACACGTCGTGCTTTCAGAGAGATCTTAAAAACATCATTGGCCGTCCGACAAGTCCGGCCAGAGAGACCTGCCAATCATTGCTAAGTGGCAGTGGTAGCGTAGGGTCGTGCTGCAGCTTCTTAGCTTCTTCCATAAATCTGCTCAGGTCCTGGGTGTGAAGTCAGCAGTTCTGCAAGCTTTGGACATGAAAACTTTGTTTTTTGGTCATGGCGGCTAACACAGTGTAAGGCCGTCGAGTTCCCCTTTGATTCTGTTGAGCAGGGGAGTCCGAAATTCCTGCGATCTGAAGGAGCTGCAGCACTTGCACGCTCACAGCCCATCATACCTCCAACCTATGTGCACTTCACATCCTGAACGAAGTAGGTTTTTGACACTAGATTCAATCTAACTTTAAACTTTAAACAATTGAAGAATGAGCACATGAGCCCCTTGAGCTCAAGAACTCCAGTCATTCGACATGGCAGCTTCAGGTTGCCGATCACAATGGTTTGGCCCTGAAATGCAGTCGCATGAGGCTGAACACAAAGCTCTTCAGATCCTGGACCAGGTAGTAGAACACTCGAAGTCCTTCTGGATCCTTGGAAGCCTGCACATCTGCTAGAGAACCAACCTTGGATGTTGAGAAAATGATGTGGTCTTTCCCGCAAACGACTTCCAGTTCCTGTCGACCAATGCGATCGGGGGCAGGCCAGTGATTGTCATACTCCTTCAAGATCTCACTGTCTTCAATCATCTTCCTGAGCACCCTCAGCACTGCCGAAGTCACATGGACCTCTTTGCGAATCATTTCATATTTTTTGTAATTTGAGTTGTTGGCATACCGCAGGCGTCCATCTGGACGAAACTCAAACTCGAGGAAATCGTGGCCAAATTTCCCACTGTGGCCCACATAGTACCTAACATAAAAGTCATCATTCTCCCCAAGGATGGAAGTAAATCGAGGACGGTCCTCCATGTCAGGAGGAGAAGGTGCTGCTTCTTTGAAGGCTTCTGCTCGAGGGTGGGTAGCTTGATCACTTGGACCTCCACTCAATGGCTTGGACGTCCCTCTGCTACGCATAGTGGCGGAGCGGCCATGGTTCGTGGTGTCCCAAGCCAACAAAAACCTGGCGATGAGCTCACCTGGCGCTTCTCTGGCATTTCTATGAACAATGCACCACACCTTGGTAGGGACTCCTCCTGGCTTCTGCTTGGCATAGTCTTGCAGCGCCTTCAACCGGCGATTGCCGCAAATGACCCACAAAGCCAGATTCCACTGCAAGCAGACCAGAGGAGGAAGATCCTCGCTCTTCACCTCGCCATTCTCGAATTTCCGGCATAGCTCGACCACCTTCTGCCCCTTGTGTGGCCCATGGCGGAACCTGGCCGAAACTTGATGGTGTGTATGCCTCAGATTCATCACATCAACAAGGCGCAGCAAGTGGCCCCATTTCTGCATAGCCCTCGGTTGGTAAGAGGGGTCAAAGTCCTTGCACCCCTGGCGCAAGCTCTGGAGAAAGGCCTGTTGCTCATCATCAAACCTACGTGGTCCCTGGTCACTTTGATCTTGTACTTCCAGTTCTTCCTTCACAGGGATCAGAAGCTTCTGCAGCTCTCGCAGAAGTTCAAAGATGGAAAACACCTCCACACCACGCCACGTCACACCCTCGATTTCAATCTGCTCATCTGCCATTGAGTCTCAAACCGCTGAAGGCGCTTGGTCTGAACCCTGAATGGCTTCAAAAACCAGCCAACCAGAACACGAAGTGATGTCCCTCCGAACTGATTCAGGTCCGGTCCACCAGTCTACCGGGGCCACTGAGGTCCGGTCCGCACTGGGAGGGCCACGTCCTGGCCGAGTGCGTGGTTCGTGAAGCCGGTACCGCAACGTCACCAGGAGAGCATGGCACCGGTGTCTGATCGAGTCAAATGAATGGAATACCATGTCTCAATTCCACACACGAGGTTCAGGTTCTGTCATCACTCACACAACCCCTTTTTCGGTCGTGAACGAGCGAAGTGAGAGAGTGAACGAGTGAACGAGCAAGCATCGTGATCGTTCAATTGGTAGCAGTATGTGTACCCCTGGGTTCAGGAAAATCCCAAGAAAATAGGAACCTTGAAGAATATCACTGAGCCACCAGGTGGCTGAATAAAGTGGTTCGAGGGTCGACTCATCTTGGGACGCACTCAAGAACCAGAGAGATTCAACAGCAGTTTTTGAACCGGGAACAAATGAAAAAACACTATAAGCATCTGTTTTTCTCTGGCATTCGCAGCTAAGAATCCAAGAATGGTATAATAGTAGAATCAGAGTCCCTCCGCAATCTCTCAACATGGCCCTCCTGCTTACAGTCTCCACCAACAGAGGACTTGGCGATGAGTAACGAGCAAAGAGCTTTGGGAAGGAAAGATGGTACGTCGCAAAGCTCTGCGCGGCATCCAGCGTGCCATAGGCTGTATGATCTTCCAACCACATCGCGTATTTCAATAGGGCCCAATGGGTAGACTCGTCAATTTCTCTCTTCCAGCGGGTTCTTTGGGAGGTCTCCCTATTTTGATACCCACCCACATAGTTCCTGGGAAAACCTAATCCCCCTAAGCTTTGGATGAGATCGGCTCACCAATGGGATGCACACCAAAGATTGGCATGGAAACTTGGTTTACGAGCAGTTTGTACAGTTTTCCACGAGCCCATGTCCATCTTTGGGGGAGTCAGGTATATAAATGGAGGGCTCAAGAGAGGCGACGGAAGCTAGCAGTCAAGGCGGTGCACTTAATTGACCTGTCCGCTCATGAAAAATGAAGTGGGTGGATTGACGGTTCGGGTCCGCCAATCAGCTCAACCCAACGACATGACCATTTCGGCGCCTGGCCAGCATTCCCATGAAGAAGGGGCTGCTGTTCTAGAAGCTCCGTTGGCAAAAGAGCCAAAACAGCAACTCTAGGAGGGCCTGCCTAATCTGCCTCCCACCAAGCTGCCTCAGGAAGTGGAAGACATGTCAAAACGACTCATGTACTCATGTACTCAGAGGCCCAACTTTTCTGAGGCTGTGATTCCTTCAGGATAATTCATAACCATGCATGTATATGCTCTATTTTGATCTTTGGAAGAACCTCAAATACACCTTCACAACACCCCCGCCCCATCCGCAGCCGCTTCGTGAATCACACGTTCCACGCTTCGTGCATCACCCGTTCCATCACTCGAGTGCCACCCGACCAATCTCAGGCGGCGCGTCGTGTGGGAGAAAAGCGGCTGGGCACCAAAGAAATGACCCAAACGGCCACCGCCCCCGTCGGACGGGCGCGGTTGGGTGCGGCATGCCCCGGGGAGAGGGAAATGTAGGGAGACCCACGGTTCTTCCCTATAAAGTAGTCCATAAATGGTCAGGACTTCTGAATCATCTGTTTGTTGGTAAGGGCTACAGCCTGACGACTGTGACTGAGGTCTAAAGGGTTTTTTCTGGATTTGAGACTCCAAACGGCCGCCACACCCAAGCCACGGTCGTGCCCAACAAGGTGAGGCGGAGTGTTCCAGAAGGTTGGCCAGATGATGGGCCGCACTCTTTATGGAGAAGAGGAATCTTTTGACTCTCCAAAAAGCGAAAGAACTGTTCAGTGAACCCCAAACAAATCATGGAAAATTGTTCCAAACAAATCCATTTGTGGGGATCTCATTCTACCATATTCTACCTTGCCACGAGAACCCATAGCAACCCGCGATGGCAGGTCTTAAGGAGAAGCCCTTCCATCAGTCCAACTCCAAACAAGTTCGTTCAATTTCTCGTGGAGGTTTTTTGCCGGACGGTCGTAGAGGTTTTGACCCAGGACTAGTAGACGTGCCCAAGAAGAACAATGGAAGAACAATGGATCTTCTTGGACTGAATCTGAAAAGGCTCTCCACCTCACCAAAAACAGCTACTGAGTCCCAAAAGCTCCTGCGCGGTTCAAGCAGCTGCCATGCAGGTGGCCCACAGCTCACCCCGCGCGGGGGCGACGTCCGACGTCGAACGTGCCATGGGACCCCCCAACACTCCCGGACGGAGGTCCACCGCTTGGCGGGGACCCGGTCGGGAGGGTCGGGCCTTCGAACTACGGGAGAGAGACCGGGGACTTGAACGATGGGACGTTGGATTCATCTGCGCAGACGTTGCTTCAGCTTTGGGACGTTGGATCTGTATATAATTCTGTTTCTTTGGGATAGCTGTTGAATCCGCCATCAACTGGATCTGGACGGATCAAATCTGCTGGTTCAGTTCGATAGGACACCAAACAAAATATGAGTTCCAGAAACTAATCTCACCAAACTCTTCCAAGCCAGAAAAAGCTCTCAATTCTAGCTTGTAGTTTAGTTTTGAGTGCCAGAAGCTCTGGAGGCCATCATCCCCGAATCCCTCTTGAAAAAAATACTTCAGCTCCGTCCCTTCATGTGCATGCCGTTCGTCCGCTCCGTCTCACCTCCTACCTACGCCTTCGGGTAGCTTGGCAGCCCGCTGCTGGAGAGTGAGACGGCCCGTTCAAATCGCTTCGCGTGGTGAGGAATCCTTACAGTCGGACCGAGCGAGCGGCTTTGCTGGTCGGTGGTGGTTGGAAGGGCAGATTTCTGGCGGCTAGAAACTGTGAGTGGAGTGGAGTGGAGTGGAGTGGAGTGGAGTGGAGCGGAGTGGAGTGAGACCCCATCAGTGCTTACTGAGGGTCTTCCTTTCATAGTAAAGGTTGGTCGAGGTCTCATCCAGCCCTCGCTCAGAAGTCGGGGGAGAGAGAGGGACTTTGAAGGATTTGGGTCACACCAAGACTCCATAAATAGACGTAGATCAGGAACTTACACCGCCAAAGAAAGGATCAAGACCTCAGGAAACATACGTTGATTCAGTTGAGGTTTTGCCGATGGCCACGTTCCCCTTACACAGCTAGCCGCTGGCCAACTTCTTCAGCCATTTTCTGTGGAGGTCAGGATCCCAGGCAGCACCGATGATCCCAGCATCCAGCATGAAACTGCACCCAAAACCAAAGGGTCATCGGTCCTTGTCGGGCTCCAAAAAGCCGGCCCGAAAAAGCAACACAAGTCCTCTCTACGTCTTCTTCCACGCTTCGCTCAAGCCGAGGGGCACCACTCGCGCCACACTGTCACCCCCCCCACGGAAACCGCGGGGAAACCCCCTTCGTGCTGACCAACCAACCTCTCCAACCTGCCCTTGACTCCACCCGCCCAAACCGTGCCGAGCTCATTCGGTGCCCCGGGCGTGGCGCTGTGCCCACGAGCCGCGAAGGCGCCGGCGGACCAACTGGGCGGCTTCTTGCTGAGCGCCAACCTGGGTTCGTCTGCTACGACAGGGTTCGACACGGCAAAATCACGGGGGTTGGGACGGTCAACATAGAATTCATGACCTGCGGTGAGGAAGAGGAGCCAAAAATCTCGGAGGAAAAGTTGGAAGAAGTCCCAATGGAAAGTGGCTCAAGAACAGCCCTTTCTTGTCCTGTCACATGGGTTTCCCTTATCTTGTTTCAAAATCCAAACCGTCATCTTGCCTTCCGTGCGTTCAATGCGAAAAAAAGAGCCCTCCCCCCCCACATCTCGATGCGATAGGCATGTACGGCGGCGCGCTCCTTTTGAGCCAAGTGACTCATACTTGGACTTTTCAATCCAAGGTGGCAAGTACTGCTCTCCCTAGCGGCACAGCCACAGTGAAATGGTGGGAAAAGGACCCTCTGGGTGATGCGCAAGAACTAAATTCGGGCATGAGCCTTCCTTTTACCCCAACATGAAGCTAAATGATCAGTTCTTGTGACGCCGGTGTCAACCCTAGCAATTAGCACCGAAAAATGATCACCCACGAGTAACAAACTTTGGCAGTGGACCCACCTGGAGCAGCCCTGGTGCCGACGTGCAGCGCTGAAGGCTCCTGGAGGTGCCCAAACCGGGTTGCTGTGGGCTTGCCTGGGGGGAGCGCAAACACGTGAGAGCATACATATATGAGTCACACGTGTGAGAGCACAAGTATGGCATCTGGGAGCATACATGTGAGAGGACGGGTGATGGCACATGAGAGCACACATCAAAATGCACCCATATGGGAACACATATGTGCACTTTGAGTTCACAAAGTGTTGCCCCTGCCACCAAATCTGCACTTCGATGTTCTCAAATCGATCCGCCCGCCACGAAATCTGCACACAGGTTCTCAACGGGCAACAGGGTCACTTTAGAACGCTTTGAGAGGCTAGATTGGAACACGCTTTGAAAGGTTGGTTTGGAACTCACACTTTGAAGGATTCCTTTGGAACACAGGCTCAGTTCACTTTAAGTTCACTTTCAACAACCTGCCAATTCAATGGGTGGGGTGGGCGTACGGGGAAGGAGCATGGAGAGGGTGGGGATGTGGCTGGGTCAAGTTAGCAAAAGCCAATTCACATCTTCTTTTCGCGTTCAAAAGCGGCGGCCCCTGCGTTCTGAAGCAACCCCTCAAATTGCAATCGGAAGTGGCCCCTCACAAAGCGCTGCACCTGCTACGAAATTTGAGGATCACAAAGTGCTGCGTCTGCTGCGAATCTGCACTTAGCAATTCACAAAAACGCTGAGCCTGCCATGAAATGTGTGCTCTGCCCTTGCCACGACGAAATCTGCATCTCCGTGCCCTGACCGTGCATTGCGAGATTTGGTGCGTTTGCGCATTGCGCCACAATTCATCACCTACGTGGCAGAAGGTAGCCGCTGGCCGGCACGCGGGTTTTGCAACAGCTCGGCCGAGTTTCAACTTCAGCATGCGCGTCCCCGACATGAGAAAAAAGGCATTAGAGGTCATTACTATTGGCAGGATCAGAAGCTTCTGGAGTGGCAAAGCTGTTGGCATCTCACATGGTCAAGGATGCCAACGTCTGCAGGCCTGCATTCTGCGCAACGTTTTGGAAAAAGGTTGTCTCCCTTGCCATAATGACCCTGCGTGCTGCCTGAACGAGACCTGACATATGTTCCGACCTCAATAATTTTGGCGTCAAGAAGGCTGACATGTGTTTTCTGACATACCTTCTGACCTTCGGTATCTGACATACGCAAATGCTGATCACAAAGACTACGAGCTCACCGGTGAGCTCGCTATGTGTTTGCTGGCAAGGCGGAGCTGATGAGCAGGGAGTTTTAGGAGGAGGAGGAGCAGAAAATTCATATGAAATCTAGAGACCCTCACTGGGAATCTAGAAATTCATCAATAATTATGGCCCTTTGCTCCCACCCATGGGCCTATATCAAGGGGATTCTTGGACTTGCTTCAGAATATATAAAAAAAACCAAATGATATGTTTCAGGCAAAACCTCAAACACCATGGTGTCCATTTTGATCACCAACCAACCAACCAGTGGGACCAAACCCAACCAAACCAAGCTCTTCCCAAAACCGCCTCCCAAACTGCGAGCACATGCGGAAAGCGGACGCAGGACCCGCGCCGCGTGGGACCCGCAGCTCCTGGAGGCACGGGCGTCCTCGCGGGACTTGGGCCTCAGCGTCCCGTCGTGCATGATGGTCACGCCACCGCCTGGATCGGTTTGCGTTCGGCCGAGAGTGGCGAGAGTGGCGAGGAGCGGGTGACATGGGGGGAAGACCAGGGAGAGGAAACGACCTCAGGAAGGCAAGCACAGCCCAACAGCTTTGGTATCTGTTCCCAAACACAAACTCTTCATGAAAAATGCCTCCTCACCTCCACCTCCAGCATCCTTCCCGTTTGGGTGCCTAGTGGACGTGCCAGAGGGTCATGCTTGTCCACCAGCTGCCCCGTCTGCCTTGGCTCCAAGGGTAGTTGAGACTCAAGTCTTCACTGGCAAGTCTTCACTGACCCATTGCTTCTGCTAAAAGCCTCTTGTGGGCCCCCGGACACCAAGTAGGACTTGTTGTACCAACGTGCAATCCTCTGCCTGACGGAGTGAATGCAATCAAAGCAATGGCTTGTCAAGGCTGACAACAAACAGGCTTGAGAATTCTGAATCTCAAAGCTTCAAGGCTGTAAGGCGATCCTTGCTGGCAAAGCCATCAGTGCAAGGTATGAGAGTAAGTGATAGGTCTATCACACCAAGCATGCTGGTCACTCTGGGATCAATCAACTACAAGCAAAAGTATCCATCAAGGTGGCTCACCACAGATGGCGGCTGTCCACAGATGGGCCTGGTGGTGGTGTCCACGATATGACTGGACGAGTGCAAAATGTGCTGCGTCCCGTTGGTCTTCGGGCAGTGCCACACATCCTGGACGGAGGCCGCCCCGTCGTGCGGCGGCGAAGGTCCAGCTGTTTCTCTCCCCTCTCTGATCTCCCCCAAAAGCATGCTCAAGCTGGGTTTCGGCCGAAATCATAGTGGTTCAGAGGTATTTTCAGGGCAAAGGCCTCTGACTCCTACCAATGCTGAGCTGGCAGCTGGAGATCATCAAGTCCAACTTCACCATAGAGCAAAGGCTGTGAAGTCTGAAGTCCTGCCTAGACCTCCACCCCCATGGTTGCTTGCAGTTTGGTGGTTCCGCTGGTCAAAGACCCCAGCGAGCTCATACCCAAGAGCAAAAAGAAAGAAGAGACCAGAAGACTCAAAGTACTTCTTGATCTTGTTGCTAGGCTTTTGTCTTGAACAGGATGGCTTGCAACGCATGCAACATTTGTCTCCAACCAAAAATTAACTTGACAGGCTGCCCAAGTGCTAAAGAACTGTGATCACCTGCTGCCTCTTGACGTGTGAGTGAGCTTCCATCTATGTGTGTGGATAGGACTTAGGACTGGAGGAAATCCTGCCCTATCTGGGAGACAAACAACCCGTTTTGCACTCCGGTTGGAGCCTCCAGAGTTGCGAAACAAACCTCCGGTTGGAGCCTCTAGACGTCATATGATTCATATGATAGAATCCGACCAAACGAATAACAAGGGGAACAAAGGGAGTCTGACTGGCCCAAAGAGAGACAGTTTTTGTCCAATCCGACCAAAGTGCCAATTGAGTCTTCAAAACGCCATTCAGCTTGTCGTGTGTGCAGGGCACCGCTTGGTCGTAGACCTAGAAAGACACATGACTTTTTGGCGAGATTGACACCATCGGGGTGTTGGGTCTAGCAACTCATGCCGGTTTTGGGCTGTTTCCTTTGCAGGTCTGGTCTCTAGAGTCTCTAGAGCTCCAAAACACGTCTGTTTTTTTTCTTCGTGGGTGATGAAGAAGGGCCTGTGATGCTTCCTCCAAACCTGCAAGGTGGGGGGGACGCTGGGGGGTTGGCAAGTGAAAGCTGGAAAGGACTCAAGGAGGACCTCAGTTGCACCTCTTCCTCCATGAATGAAAAGCAAAAAAGAATCCGTGATGGACGAAATATTTCTCCTAAGCCCCAAGCGGCCTGAATTGTCAATCTCTGAGCCTGTCTGGTCACAGCCACCTCGCACCACCAGGCTCACCACCCGACCTCACCACCTCGCGGGTCCGATCTGAGCATCCCGGCCCAATCAAATCGGGGCCTGGCCGATCCGATGGTCCCCCCCAGCGAAGGCCGACAGTGGACGCTTGGGGGGGGGGCGGTGTGAGGTCTCACTCTCCCAAGCAGAAGGTCATCAAAGAAGAGGCTGACGAATGCCATGCATGCCATGTAGGCCATGTGGCAGGAAACAGTGCTAGGCGTTGGAATTCCAAAACCAAAAAATGTGTTGCCCAAACTTGAGGTCTAGATAGGTCTAGCATCATCACATGACGTGATTGGTCTTGTAAGCCCGAGGAACGTTTCAATCGAATGAAAAAAAATATAAGCACCAGGTGGATTCTCACCCCAGACTACACTGTTTTCTTACACATCTGTTTCCTAACACTATCCACACACTCCCTGAAGTTAACTTGGCCCGCCTGTTGCACCCAGCACCCGTCAATCATGCTTAACCGGAGCTCTGAACTCTATGCATCAAGCCATTCAGAACGTTATACGTTGCAAGACTCACGTTATACGTCGAGGTGTAGCAACCGATGGCACTGGCACCCGGCCTCTCACCACGGATGGCGCCCGCCCGATCTTTTGGGAACATGGGCCCGGTGTCCGTCTTCAACCATGACCTCAGGGCGGGCCAGCCCAAAGTGTGCAGCGACACAGGCCCTTTTTCGGCCAGCTGAAGCCAGATCACGGAAGTGATGTGATTTCCCATCCAAAAACATCGAAAACACCGACCTCTGCAAGACCCGACCGCCTCTTCGCTCTCCTCCTTCGGCCCGGTCCCTAGCGGCCGGACGTCGGAGAGCCCGGCGACTTCACCTTCTGGGTGACGCTCGGCGCGGTGATGCGGTCCATGGCAAAGCGAAGGGAGCGAAAGGAGCTTCGGCAGCTCCGCACCGCGCGGCGTCTGGGGTCTGCACCGGGGAGGGAGATGGAAGTATCGGAGGGATGGTGTCTGTAGAAATACTGCTTCAGCTGCTGTGGGATTCAGTCATTTTGCTTGCAGCAATCATTATTGTGCACAATATGTTGTCTCTCTCTTTCACCTGTTGAGCAAAAGCCGCACAAAAAACAATGGAGACTGCAGTGCATTGGCGCTCAAGCTATCCACCTGGTCGTCATCAGCTTCTGTGCCGCTTAAGAGTCACACGCGAGGAGATGTGCCATGTTACAATGGTAGTCCCGAGAAGGATCAGAACTTTTGCACTAGGATTATTGGCCAAGAATTGAAGTCATCCATTGAAACTGTGATTTTATCTGCTGAACTTCTGTGCCGCTTGAGATTGTGAAACGCTCGGGTGCTCTTGCTTTGCATGCTTTGACTAGGGCTTGGGATCTCTCATGGCATGAGTTGCTTCAAGTTAAACACCGTTGGATGGTGGTCAAAGGCCCTTTGGCTGCCACCCAAGCTGTTCTCATGGATTTACAATGGACTGCCCCTGTTCTTGACAAGTGGATTGATCCACAGTTCAGGTTGTGGGACCTGAACTATGATGATGTTTCCTTACCTTGTGACCTTGAAAATAAAATCGTTTGTAGTATCCAACGCTTGGAAGGTCATGTCGTTGACTCCCAGTTATGTTGCCAACATGTTGGGGGTTCCCTGGATTTGCATTTCCATAAGAGCTTGTTGAGGAAGTCTTCTGTTACTGAGGCGACGCTTCTTCAAGTTTTGTGGCAGGGTAGTCTGTGTTGATCGAAAAATTCCCAGTTGCAGTGGTGCCCCTTTTGTCCCACTCAAGAACGCACTTGGCATCATATGTTCTATGAATGCCCTGGCTGCATTAAGAAGCATGGGGAGGTTCCTGCTGTGTGGGCGCCGTGTTTGGGTCAACTTGGAATGGAGCATTTCTGGTGCCGAGGGCTAGTTTCCCGCCGGACTATTGCCCCTCCTGCCGATGAGGGTTTGGTTGCTGTTGGCATTGTTCATGACCATGTTGAATCAGGCGCCACAATCCTCCTGGGGACTGATGGTTCGGGTGGTCCTTTCAGTGATGACCCCCGTCTTCGGAAGTCTGCGTGGGCTGTGGTTGCTCTTCGCATGGACGGCGATGAGTTTGTTGTGATTGGTACCATGTCTGGTGCTTTAGTTGACAGTGATGAAACTTGCAATACTGTCCCTCGAGCTGAACTTATGGCTCTGGTGAGGGCATTGGAAGCCTTGTCTTGGCATGATGGGCCTGTCCAAGTTGCCTTTCATGCGTCTTATGTGCAAACTACTTGGCAAAAGGTCTCACACAATAAGCATGTTGGTAACCCTAATGAAGATCTGAAAATGAGGCTTAGACGGTTGGATCGTCGCTCTGTGGAGCTGTGCAAGGTTAAATCACGCATGAGTCTCCAAGATCACATTGACTTGGGTCGTCCGGCTTGGTCCTGGCATGCTAATGCTGCTGCAGATTCCCTTGCTGGGGAAGCAGCAGTGGCCTTTGCCCCGTATGGAAAGGATAAGGCTAATGCTTTCATTTTAGGACGAGCTTGGCGCTTAAACAAGTGGTTGTTGCCTCGGGTCGGGTGCAATTTTGGTTGCGTCAGCAGAGTACCTGTAAACTTCCGAAGCAAAGTGAGTCTAGACGCACCAAGGATGCTTTCCTGTTGTCTCTAAGAAATAATCCTGCTGGAGGCCATGAGTGGGAATCCTCAGTCAAGGGTCTGTGCTGTTTGCGTTGTGGTAGAAAGTTGTCCAAATACAAAAGTTTGAGTGATCTGGAGGTTCTGGTGCAAATCCCATGTGATGGGATGAGTGGTGTCCGCGGGGTGCATTATACTCATACCATGTATGGTGGCACGCGGAAGACCTGCAATGTGTGTAAGGGAGTTTGTTATGCGGGGCGACGGATTAGCAAGAAATTGCGGCAACCATGTGGAACTTCCGGAAGAGTCTTGTACAGACGGAGATAGTTTGGGCTGGTAGTTTGCTTGGAAAAATAAGCTGAACTTCAGCTGGTTCTGTCTGCGCTCTGCTCTTGAGAGTACTGCCAAGTGCTCCTGTCCGGAAAGAAAGTTTAAACAGAAGATGAACAAATCAGAGTTATATAATATACTGTCAAGGACAGAAAGTTGAGTCTTCGAGCCATTTGGCGGTTCCACCTAGTCTGTGTGGTGGAGCAGAACCATCGTATTCTTGCAAAATTGAGCCGTGCAAGCCCTGCAGGCGCTCGCTGCAAGGTGTGTGATACCTTTGAAAGGAATGCAACGATGAAAGGAGCAGTCATGTCAGGCAGCGAGAGAACCAGATCCAGCTTCACCCTCAGCCAAGGGTCTCCGTCCTTGCTCACCTTCTCCACCTTTCCAACTTTGAAACCACAGAAAAGTAGGATGAGTACTTCTTCTTCAGGGAAATGTGAAAACTTCTTGATGCGGATTGGGCTGACATGAACCGCATCCATGTTGCTGTCACAATGACTCTACCAGCATCAGCTTCATTCCACGCCGTCCATCCTTTTGCTGTTCTCGGCAAACTTTCGTGCCTCCTCGTTCTCAGATTTCAAGGTGAATGACCGGAAGAATATTAGCTCATCTTGGCTCTTCTCATACTGTGAAACCTCTTCATCTGAAATCCACATGGCTCGAAAGCAGACTCCTGAGAACTTCAGTGATGAATCCTTGTCTGAAGCTGTTTGAAGTGCAAGGAGAAGTGCCTCTGATAGCTTCGCTGTTTTCAGGAACTCTACTGTTGGCTTTTTGCTCCGCAACTCCGAGTTCAGGGTCTTGTAGATGTTCGCAGGGGAGCCTTGAGTGTACTTTACTTGTTAAGGAGCTCATCGTACTTTTCTTGGGGCGATTCAAAAATTGCAACCAATTGGTCACGCTCCTCCACCTCCTCCACCTCCCAATGCCGGGGTGTTCGCTCAGACCGCAAAATGAGCAGGTGGTTCACCGCTTCTTTGGTAGAGATCTGATCCGCACGATTGTATAGTTCCTGGTGACCATCCACTCGTCGAGCCTCGTCGATAGCTTTGTGCCTAGGTTTGGGGAATGCCTTCGAAGAAACAACAATGACAATGACCTTGGCAAATAAGTCCAATCATCACAAGGGCTTGTATACACACCACCCAAATAGGACATAAAGTGTAAAACATCACAAGGCTTTATATTTGACAGGATCAAGAATCATCAGGCAGCAACCTAGTCTTCACGCTCATTGTGAACTGTGTGCCCGATGTGTGTTTGTTCAATTTATTTTGTTATATTGTTGTATTTGTCTTTGCATTATGTTTGCAATGGTTTTGTGTGTTTTATGATTTTGTGATTCATTAGAATTAGCATTAATCCAGGTCATAACCTTAAGGGGTCAAGCGAGTCTGCGAGTCTGGCGGAACCGGCTGCAAGCGAGTCCGGCGCAAACCGTGCTGCACCCACCGCCTTTACTACTTACACTGTCGCCGTTCTTCGCATGTTACTCATTAACGCGTCTCCGTTCTACTATGTGTTCTGCGTTCTTCTGTCTTTCTTTGCTTTATATATCTGTCTTTCCTTTTCCCCTTTCTCTCTCTCTCTCTCTCTTTATCGCATGTTGTCTTTCTTTCTTTCTTTCTTGTTGTCTTCTTTCTTTATCTCTTCTCTCTCTCTCTCTCTCTATCTCTCTCTACTCCCACTGCAATACCGCACAACTCTCCTTTTTAGGTTCTAATTCCGTTTTAATTTCATCCAACAACGAATCTGAATGGCCTAAAAAACTAGTCTGTGCGGTAGGCCGTCGCGTAGCATGCACAAAAAGAACGCGCGGCAAGATTTGCGACGCATCCAAAGTCGTCGGCACTTTGAGGCGTCGACGCACTTGCTTTTTCATCTGACGACGCAGAGAACCGCCAATTCCTGGCTGGTGACACAGCATAGTTTTTCAGCACATCAGCCTGGTGCGAAAGCTGCATGAGAACCGCAGAGAGCGGGCAGTTGGCTTGCAATTTTAGCTGCTGCCCCAATCCTGCTTTCAGGCACCAAAACTTGGTGACACATGGCAGGGCTATGTCAAAGAAACCACTTCAACTTAAAACGCCGTCCTCCTTTCACAAACCTCATCATGCAGGTCCTTGAGCTTGAACGTCCCAAAGTTTCAAACTCAGAGCTGAAACATTATTGAACCCAGAAAGGTACAGCCAACGCTTGATTGGTTTTTTGGCTTTATATAGTGACGACACACACTTGGAATAGTGAGACAGTCAAAACATAGTTTGGGGGTTGTCTTTTTCACTTTTTCTTTGCACATACAAGTATATGTTCAACAAAGTCATGACTGCTTCATGCCTGCGACTTCTCCTGGTGAGTCCCCCAGTGGCAACACTGACTAAGAAGTAAGAAGTGGATTGGTGAAAAGAATTAGTCTGCAACCGTCTCCCTTGCGATTGCCTTCTGGACGGGCACTTGAGCACTAATGTTGTTGCTTCTTGATTTTGTTATCTGGCAGTGCGGCAAACCTTCACTTCTGTCTGCCATTGTCTCGACTAAAGTGATGAGGCTTGTTAATCCACTGTACCTGGTAATTACCTGCTGCCAAACCTCAACCAAATGGGTGCACAGGATGCTCAATGCCAAAAAGCACAGTGAACAGCTTGGATTTGTTCTCACAGAACTTCTTCGGATCGTTGTGAAGCCTCTATGGAACTTTGGCCCCATCATATTTTTCTTGAACCACTAGGTAAGTTCCTTCAATTCAGTAAAGTTCCACTCCAGGGCCTAAAGAATGCAAAGCTTGCAAATCTATCCGGCCTAATGCAGATCACACATCGCAAAATTACCAGAGAACTGCCTACTGAGAAGGGAAAGGTTGAAGGTTTGAAAGCTTCAGTGTTCATGTTGTCCATAAATGTTTCAAGGCCATGACATCCACCAGGTCCTTTGTGATTGTCTGCTGTCGAAAAGCGGTGGAAAACCACATCTGACTATGCATTCACAACACTACGGCCGCAAACCATCATGAA